AATTCGCTTGACGAACGAGATAAATTAAAGTTTCTTTGTTTTTTCAGATACAACGAGTTTTTAAACATAATAGTTGGGAAAAATAATGAACAGTTATTAGCAGAGTGAAATTGTTACAAATCTATTTGAAGCACGGATACACTTAATTTTAATTAAACTGGATCACAAGTTATAACGTTAATGTTGAATATTTAATTTGTCATATTTATGTTGTTTTGTATTTTATTGAATTATAAATTATTTATTATTGAATTGAACAAATCAAAAGAGAACAAAACATTTTTTATTTTATTTGTAGTCTTTTGAATCACATATAACTGCATCTGATACTTAACTTAAATAATAACAGTTATATCTACACACACATACCTATATATATATTTGTGGTAGGTGTACATTTGCAGTACATTTGTTGATGATTTAAAATCTCCGTTATAAGTATAACTTAAATCATTACCCATGTAATTATCTCGCACTATAAATAGCTTTAATAAAGTATATTATGTGTTGAAACAACCAGCAGTAATTAAGATGTTTAGACGTTTTATGACACAAGTAGGTATTTGATGAAATCAAATAAATAAAACAAATGTCTTTCCCATCTCTATTCCATGGGCAGTGTACATACCTACACGTGATTTATATGTCAGGTGTAGCATGGAACGAAAACGAAATGAAAATATTATGAAATCTACCGTTAAAACCGCAGGACTGAGCCTTTCGAAACATGTGCGCGGTGACTTTTTCCTGCAGCCTCGCAGGAAATATTTGCAATTAAGATCGATGTCATTGTTGGTAGGTTTATAATTATCCACCTCTTTGCAGCACAGTGATTCAAATCGGACATCTAGCTACCCAAGTAGCAAAGGGTGCTTTACTGTTTTATGCAAGCTTTATAAATGCATGACAACATGCTTTTTGTTTTATTACAGCTCTACTTTGTGCTAGTTTGTCTTGAGATAATGAAGCTTTATGATTAGGCTTTATGAGTATTAAGTATTAAAGCCTTTTTGCAATTATAACCGTTTGATCTTAACATTGATTTATTACTGTTAACCAATAATGCTTTTTTATGGCAACTTGCTCCTAAGAAACGCCTATAGTCCAATAAGCTTTATGAAGGTTTATCAGATGCATATTGGTTTTAATGGTGCTCGGAAAGTTGGCTTTAGTGCATCTGTTAAAGCCGACTCATAGGGGCATTTGGTCTTAGGACTACTTTTCCTCTATGTAAGAATGTTTCAGAACCAAACAGTAAAACGGTTTTATGATTGTTCCTAGTAGAGCAGCAATACGTCTTTAATATAACCAATTTTCTTTCCAATTTCCAAATTGTCATGAGTGTAAACCATTTTGTTGCTATTATTTCTTTATTAAAACGTTTTTGTCTTGATAATCGCGAAGAAAATCACTCTTGTCAAAACGTCGCCGCCATGCATGAGTTTTTTAGAGCAGGGGTTAAAAGTTAAAAAAGTGAAGTGATAGAAAAACAAAGTTGGCTCCTGTAAGAGCTGTTAAAAGTTGTTCTTCTGTGTTGTTAGCAAAACATCTGGTTGATAATACTCATTGTATTCCTTCAACTTCCTGTTCCAACCAAGAGCTAAATCCGCATAACTTTATAATAGCAATTAAGACAATTTTTAGGTGTTATCATTTGACAAAGCATTAAAGCCCTGATTGGGATACTTTTGATGAAAATACTGCAAAGTTGTTTTAAAATGCTCGCACAAAATTCTAATAGGTTTTATGATGCCTTCAAAAATGCAGTCATAGGGGCCCTATGATAGGGCTTATTAGTTTAAACAAATAGTTGTAAACACTTTTTAAAGCAATTAAACTTTTTAGCAGTTGTTTGCAAGAGTACGAGGTGTGTTCAGAAAATAACGGGAATTGTTAAATTTCGCGGGTTCGGAGGGTCCGGTTGTCATAAAATTTTCTTTATTATGTTGGTATATATGCCCCCGAAGTATGATAAAAACTTTAGCTGTTTTCATTGTTTACTTTGTCTGTGGCAGCCGCTAAGGTTAGACGTGTTTTATGAGCTCGGCGATTTTTCGTTCGTTATAAGAAATGGATCAAAGAATTTCTATCCAATTTTGCTTAAAAAATTAAATAAATTCTGTGAAATGTGAACAAAGGCCTATAGTGAGTCTGCTAAAGGTAAAACAAGAGTTTACAAGTGGTATAAAATTTTCCAAGATGGCCGTGAAGACGTTGAAGATGACGAACGCCCCGAACGCACAAGCGCATTAACAACCGATAAAAACATGAAAAAAGTGGAAGAAATGGTTATAAGCCATCAGAGAAGTCGCTGATGATGTTGGTACATCGATTGGCGCATCCCGTGAAATTTTTTCGAATGTTTTGGGTATGAAACGCGTGGCAGCAAAATTTGTTCTAAAATTGTTAAATTTTGAACAACATTTTTGGCCAAAAACAATACTGTAATGATGACCCAGCCTCCATATTCACCAGACATGCCTCTGTCTGACTTTTTCCTAATCCCAAAAATAAAGAGAACCTTAAAGGGCCGTTGTTTTGCAAGCATAGATGACATTAAAAGCGCATCGCTGAAAGAACTAAAGGCTATCCCAAAGATTGAGTTTTAGAAGTGTTTCAAGTATTGGAAGAAGAGCTGGCACATGTGCAGGGGCGTGCTGGCTATATCAGACCGGCCCGGGAAATTCAGAAAAATCGGCCAACTACACACAAAAAAGGGGGGTGAACAAAACCAAGTTAAAAAATTTCAAACATTTATTCAATAACATAAAGTATAAATTAAATTCTTGAAAAACAAACAGGCAACAAACACAACCAGACAATATTTTACACAATGCTAAAACATATAGCATTGCACTTAAAATAAAAACTAATACAAATTATCATCGCTCAGGAAACTTATAAACAATATACAATCTCGAAAAAAGAAACAAAGCTGGCAGGCTGGCATGCATGGTATGTGTAAAATAATTATGATATTTATACATAACTCAACTAAAAAAGTTTTTAATTGACCACGTGCTGCGGCATGCTGCCTACATAGCCCTCCGGCACACCGGCCCACTTTGCTCTCCGGACCACCGGCCCACCGGGATTTCTCCCGGTGTCCCGGCAGCCCAGCACGCCCCTGCACATGTGCATAATATCCAATGGGGACTATTTTGAAGGCGACAACATTATTGTAAACGAATAAAAAAAATTTGTTTCAAAAAACGAAAATTCCCGATATTTTCTGAACACACCTCGTACATTGTTTTATAACTGAAACCGCCATTTAAATTAGAAAATATTGGTCCGCCATGCTGAAATAATTTTAATATAAAATACGAATAGATAATATTTTTTAGAAAATTTCAAAAATTTAGTATTTACGAGCATACTTTTCCGATAAAATAAGGCTGACAAAAATCCGTGGATCGGCCTTAACCATAGACACTGTCATCCACGACCTCCTTGGATGGATCTACCAGCCGGCGTAAAAACTTCGGATCCAACAAACACAGGTAATGCTGTGATTTGGCGGGATACGCAGGAGAACGGAAAGGGGGTAAAATAACCCTGGGAGATTAGTGGAGGATAATGTCTTTGGGGCCTGCCATACGTTCCCATACTCATACTCATATTTTTTCGATAAAATATGGCTTAAAAAAACAGGTAAGTATTTAGCCAAATCCTTTAAAATTGTTTAAATTAAGAGCATTTCAGTGGGTTTCGGGTCTCGGCGATCAACTTTTATCAGTAAAGTTGTATTTGTTTATGATTTTTGCATCCGAAAGTTTTTGGATGACAAAAGATAATAATTTTCTTATTAAGTTTTTAAAATCAATAATGGCCTATGCTTGTGATTCATAAGGAAACAATATACCAAAAAAGTATTTGATTAAAGCAATATGGAATTTACAAATTTCAATAAAGTAAAAAAGTATATCAATAAGTACAACTGTCAGCCAAAATGTGTTTAGGACAAAAGCACACTACTTACCTCCTTAAAACCTATTGCACTTAGCAGGTTTTATGTTTTAGCTGTAAGGTAGGTTTTATGGCTGCTGTAAGGTGTGCCTTAGGAGTAAAACAATAAGGCAAAGTTGCTTTGTGGCTGACACACAAATTGCTCCTAAGGACAGCGATAGGATTCTCTTTTTTAGCCCTATGATGGTTTTATCGAAGCTGTATAGCTGCTGTTAAAGCAAATAGATTTTAACTAAGCAATGCAGATTACCCTTAAAAGTAGTTTTATGGAGCCCTTGTATACCTTTAAAAAACCTATTTTGCTACTTGGGTAGATAAGTACCTAAACTTGTTATCAAACAAATAATTTCTTTGATTGCTAATAGAACATTATGCTCCTCATCTTCAACAATAGGATGGCGTTGTCTGGGAACATTTTTTCTATATTTTGCTTCTATTTTACTACATGACAGTCTTCTGGCAAATAGGAGGCAATTCTGGATGCGTTTCGTTAGAGAATTGAGCAACTTCTGTCTTATTTTGACATCTCCCCAGATTTTCAGAATTGAAATCTGAACAACTGTGCGTAGTTATGCGTATAGATTAAGTTAGATCATTTCTGAAGCGTGGATGCGGTTGTGGGATTTTTGGGTCATCAATAGTATTTAATAAGTAATTTTAAAGTTTGCACAGTAAGAAGAATGTTGGAACTTTTACTATAAAACTTTTGACTGGGAGGAGATACGCATTTAATGCTGAAGAAGTCTATAACCATTGAAAAATCTAAGAATTAGGCCGGGAATTGCTGCCCCATCCTCCGCATTCTCCAGATTTAACCCCCTGAGACTTTTTTCTTTTCTCAATTAATTTTGTAAATTTACTAGGACTACAAGTAAAAATCAATTGCTTTATTTTTATCACAATTCACAAATACTGTTTCTTTAATGTCATATATAAATTTGGTGTGGGTCCCATATCTAATAATCACAATTAATTTTGTAAATTTACTAGGTGTAACAAAAGGAACGTAAAAGTAAAAATCATGATAGACCTGTTGATAGTTTTAAAACTGCTTTATTTTTATTACGATTTACAAATACTGTTTCTTTAAAATTATGGCCAATTTTTCCCCTAGCATAACACATGGTGCATTGGGATGACCGGATAAAGTGTGTGGGAAAACACTAGCGTCCGCCACTCTTAATCTATGAACTCCATGTACTTTGAATTCGTGGTTGACCACATACTTTTTGGGGTCCGGACCCATTGGACAAGTACCCACGGGATGATATAGATTGGATGTCACTTGTCCTATGGCACAGTACCAATATTGTTCACTTAAAAATTCGTACTGTTCGCAGGCTGGGAGCTTTTTTACGCCTAAAGTGGCGTTAACCGCTTGCATGTGTTGTACCCAACTTAAACCCATTTTAATGCCTTCATAAATTGTTTTGGCATCTATATTGTCTTTATCCGACAAATTATTGAAATCAATCAGAGGAAAATCATAGGGGTCATTGGTTTTAAGTTTGACACTTCCTACGGATTTAGTGTGGAGAACTGTAGGCACCATAAAAAAACACCTGGGTGGATCCAAAGGCGCATAGATTGCTTCGTATGTTTCATCCTTTAAGTTATACTCCTTTTTTATGAATGCGCTTGTGCAGTTACCAGAGCCATATAATATTTCCAAGTCTGGATAATTTTCAACCGACTCAAATTTGGTCTTGTAAAAAGACAATCCTTTCAAGCCACCTGGTACCGTTAGAGGACCATATCCATTTAAGTATTCTCTAACATACTCTTCGAATGGTTGTATGGGTTCTGTGTAATTTGAACTAATCAATAATCCATAAAATGCAGGGTGGTCCCTCAGGGTCTTGCCGACAGGTAAATCCTTTAAGACCTGGATAGTCTTTTCTCTTAAGTGTTTTTTAGGACCTACCCCCGAAAGCATTAAAATTTGAGGAGTATTAATAGAACCACCAGATACAATGACTTCTTTGTTAGCCCGGGCCACATATGTTGTGCGGTTATAAGAAAAATTAACACCTGTTGCAATTAATTGACCTTTCATATCCTTTTCAATCAAAATTTTTGTCACCAAGCTGTTATTTTGCACTTTAAGGTTTCCTCTTGAAAGTATAGGTAGTATAAAGGCCGTGCCATCGTCAACTTTTTTACCATTTCTAATACATGCAGGCAGCGGTCCAAATCCGATTTGTTCGGGGCTATTTGAATCGGCAAAATTATACCCCATAGAGGCCTGGGCTTCATACCAAGCGTTCAACTGGGGATCAGTGGTTGGATAATACTCTACATACAGAAGACCGGATGTGTTGTGGTACGGCCAGTCCACTACAGCCTGGGGGTTGTTTTGGTGCATTGCCTCGGTTTTCTTGAAAATTGGCAGGACGTCTTCATAGGACCAACCTGGGTTTCCCAACGACTCCCATCTATCAAAGTCATGGGGATGCCCTCTTACATATATCTGATCGTTTATTAATGTTGTACCACCCACTCCTTGACCTCTAGGTACGATGCACTGTTGATTTATCATGCCTTAAAATGAATGTGAATAAATCTGTTTTTGAATTTATTATATGATATTTTACCTAAGCATGAATGCTTTTGAGGGACTGTTTTGTATCCCCAATTGAACTTTGTAAATCTACTCAATCCGATAACAAAAGGGACATCAGTATAGTTGTTGGGATAGCCCCCTGCTTCAATTAAAAGTACCTTAAAATCTTCTTCTTCGGAAAGTCTATTGGCCAATATGGTACCAGTAGATCCAGCCCCTATTATTATAAAATCATAGCATCCAAAATCTAAAAAGTGTCTTATGATAATGGACCCATTTTATTTTAATTAATGTTGGTTACTTACCAATAGGTGGTTCATCCTTTAAAGGTTTAAACTGTGAAGAATCGTTTCTTAACTCTCCATTTTGAGCTTTTTCCATTTCATCCTCCAGATACATTGTAAATTGTGCAACCTCTTCATCGCTAACACAATGTATGAAATAAATTGCGTTTAAAATAATAAAGAAAATCAACATTGTCATCCTTACACTAAAAAATATTTAAACCTAAATACAAATTTATTTATTTATTTATATGTATCCGAATTACTAAATATTCAGTTTTTTGATTAAAAATAAATGTTTAATATCATTATTTACATAATATACCTTCCTATATACATATTTATACATTTGTACGTCAACAAAAGTAAAATTTATAATTATAATTGATAATAAAATAATATATACAAAATAATGGGACAAGCACTGGAAGAACTACTATGCACGAGGACGTTCCAAAAAGTACAGTTTGGGAAATAATGCACGAACAACTGCTATATGATATAGCCTATATCCCCATCATTTACAGAGAGTACAAGCTTTAAATCCTTAAGATCTTCCACATAGACTAGAATTATGTCGCTGGTTAAGAACAAAAAGTCACTCCCACTTTATTGAAAAAAATATTTTTACCGACGAAGCCTGATTCAATAGGGATGGAATTATTAATTTTCATAATAGTCATACATGTGCTGATGAAAATCCGCATTGAATCAAGACACCAGCAAAGATTTTCTATCACCGCTTGTTCAGGAATAATTGGCGATTTCATGATAGGTCCTCGCGTCTTACCAAATCGACTGAACGGTGAAACAAACTTGTATTTTTTCCAAAACGTTTTAAAAACCTTCTTGATGACGTACCCTACCATTTAAGATTGTCGATGATTGTTATGCCTGATGGCGCCCACACCATTTTTCTGCGAACGAAGGACAGATTTAGATGAAGTTTACGCCGCTCGATGGATAGGACAAGGAGGGCCAATTTATTGGCCTCATCGTTCACCAGATTTAAATACACTTGAGGTTTTTCCCCTATGGTCATCATTTATCCGATTTGAAACCACCAAATTACTTCTTGCCCAAAAAATACACAAAAGTTAGATTTAATAGGTATATTTAATAATAAAAAATCACATTAAAGTAGACAATTATTGTGTTAATTAATTTTATCTAACAAACACGTATTTGAGTTAATACGGACTATTTTACATTAAATATTATATAAAAATAAATATTAATTAGTTAAAATTACAACTTAAACTATAATACTTTCAAATTCGTTCTAAAATGATTACTGAAATCATCAAATAGTAATTATTTATGCTTACCTAAGAGAATTAAATTAAATTGCATTCATATACATATATATATTCTCTACAAAATATAATTTATCACATATTTTTAATTAATTATTATTGACACTACTTATAGAACCGTTTATAGTAGCAGAGCCATTTATGGTCGGAGCTTCAGCTTCAAAGTATTGTTTCAGTAAATCACTTAACTCGGTAAACGTGTCACAGTATGTAAAATCCTTAGGTTGGACACCCTGGAACACCCTGATAACGCTGTCCTTCAAGTTAAAGAAATAAATCGGTTGTTTTCTTTTGTGGAAGTCCTCTAGCAAGGATTTAATCCCCTGAAAAGTGGTTCAGAAGTTTCGCTTTTGATCAAGAATTGATAACATTCTTACCTTGGCAGCCGTAAAATCAGCACCCTGTATATGTTTTGCATCCAGTACGACAGGGATAGAACTGGAGCCCTGCTTCACGCCAGCCTTTGACACCAAAGATCTGACATATTCCACGGATGGAAAGGCCAAGCTTCGGTCTGGAGTCACCATTAAGTAGTCATGTCCACTTGGTGTCTAAAAATTAGTATTACTTTTAACCAAATACTAAAAATATTCCCCAACACCAAAACAAAACACAAAGTGCTTGCAGTACTTTTCGCCAACGATGTTGGCATGTTAAGAAGCGAAGTGTAACTGTGTTACACGTCGCTTCTGAAGATGCCTGAAGATTTCTGCATACCGTGTATTTTTCCACACTAACAGTCGGTCTAGCTGAAGCATACAATAAAAATAGTACGTTGATGCTAATTCCGATGACGATTCCTATTTCCAACCTCAAGAAAAGGCAGGTTACGAATGTGACAACGGCTGGTATTACATCAGATTCTAAAAGATAGCACGTTTTACTGATTTCGACAGCCATAAAGTCTACTGCAATCCTAATGACGAAATAAATATTAACTTACTCTTCGTCCTCCACATGGGCTTTATGACATGCAGTTCCACCATGAAAACCACTGCAGCAATGATGACTCCTGCAAGAGAAGCTTTGGGGATGTAAGCAAAACAAGGAGTGAGGAGTACCAAGGCCAATATGACCATGAGGCCCGTGTATATTCCTCCGAATGTGGTTTTAACACCGCTAGCGTGGTTTACCGCGCCTCTGGACAGGCCTCCCGTGATGGGCATGGATGATACGAAGGAGGATACGATGTTGCAGGCTCCCAGCGCTATCATTTCCTGTGTGGCATCTACGCGATTTCCTTCGGCTGTAAATGTTTTTAGTTTCGTTGAAATATAAATAAAACATGATGAATTTTAAAAGAAAACATTCCAAATTTTAATATGCGACAAAAAAACTAGAAGAAACGCGTAATTTTTAAGTTAATTGGTCTTCAAAATCTGTACTCAAGTGAACTGGCTGAATGACCATTGTGCCTCTAACTATCTGTCAACCGTTTTGCCACGTTGCAACGTGGCAAAACGGTTGACAGATTGACAGTTTTTTTTCGTTGTGGTTATTTTGACACTTACATATTGATTAGTGTAATAATATTTACCCTATTAAAAATGCCATATAGAAACACAAAATAAAAATCTATCTGGTTCAATATAGGAATTTGAAACAGGCATTGCACTATTGAACCAGATAGAATTCCATACCTGGAAAACCATATAAAAAAGTGATTTCTATATGGATTGCCATATAAGTTCATATTGCTCTATCTGGCCCAATATGGTTTGGGTGTGAAAAAATTATTACCATATAGATCCATATTTAACCATATAGGGGAATCTATATGGTTTAATAAGCAATTTTCGTTTAAATATATATACATTTTAAAATGGAATTCCATATTCAACCATATAGGGAAACCTATATGGAAAGACACATAAAACAGAAACAAGATAAATCCATATAAAAATCCCTAAGTTGTACATTTTAAAATGAAATTCCATATTAAACCATATAGATTGCAAAGTGTAAACCAGGTCGTTCCATATAGGACATATAGAACCATATAAATCCATATTAGTTTCCTTATCTGGATCAATATGGGTTCTATAGGGCATTTTTAATAGGGTAGTAAAAGTAATGTTATGGTGCACTATGGTAATGATTTAAAATACTAACTAATATCTAAGCATAAGACTAATTTGATATGTTTTTTCTTGATTAAAAACTGTAACACCCGAAACTTTTTTCATATGTCGAAATATAAGTGAAGTTGAAGAATGCAATAAGTATAATTTTTAAAGCAGTCACACTTCTTTTAAAGAGGTGTGACTGCTTTTACGATGGTGTTGTCGAACCAACCGAAATTTCGGTATTTCTACTGAAATGGCAACGGACCTACAAAAATACCGAATACTATGATTTTCGTCAATAATTATGTTTCTACCGATTTTTGGCAATAATAACGATTTAACCTTTTTTGCCGATATAGGTATCATGTTTATCATGTTTATTTGTTCCTTACTTATTTTGTAGTACTTAGAGACTAATAAAACACCGATTTTGTCCATAAAGTGTTTAATGATTGTACACCCAAAACAGAACCATGGTAACACGAAACAAAGTAAAATTTTATAAAAAAAAAATGGTAAAACCTTATTTGTGACAGTGATTATGTGGTAGATGGTTAGTAAATATTGTACTTTTGGAGGGCTGTAATTTTTAGGAATGTTTCCCTAAGAAAATTCGCTGAACTTCAAATAAATGTAGCATAGAGGCAGAATCATGAAACACTCGAAAAGCATGCTTTTTGACTTATAAAATCGTTATCCTATATGCTAAACTGTACTAGTTTTACAATTTAGATAGAATAACTAAAAACCTAGAGAATCAGGCACTTTAATTGCTAAAAGATTAACACCTGAAACGATGGAATGACCCAAAACTAAAGCTATCCAGTCAAAAAATTAAAATATATTATAATGGTCAAAGAAAATAACGTAGTTTTATATATTTTACAAATTTATTTTTGAATAAATTTGGGAATTCTAAATTATGGTGTTAAGGTAAAACGCTTTGCACAAGAGGTAAAAAGGGACACTTGTCCTATAGGTAAAGAAATTACAAGTTTTTCGAACTTTGCCTAAAAATCTGGTGTCCAGATGATACAAGAAACGATGGTCCAGATACACGAAGCGAGTAAACAGGCAGAAGGTGTTTGAAAATAGTATCAAACGCATCGCTTCTTATAAATTTTTGCTTAAACGAAATTTATTGTAAAGTTCTGTATAATTAATTGTTACAACTGTTTGTGTATTCTTAATTTTAGTAGTCAAAATTATGTAGTAAAGTCCACTAAACGTATAACGAGTCATAGAAGTTAATTGATCATTACTTATTATACGTTTAGCGAATTTAACTCGATATTAACAACTTTTTTTTTAGCTATTTTTACAAAATATTCTTGACTTTTAAGTTTTCTGTTTAATGTAAAAATTTTGATTCCATTATTTTATTGTTCAAAACATAATTTAGTTGTACACTGTCCCTGTAACTAAAATGTTTAGACCTCGATTATGCATTTTTTATGGTCATTTTAAAACAAATATCGTTGTGATACGGGACGTTTCGTTGCTTAAAAGGTAGTATTGGCCGTTAATTTTAAACTTTGAATGCTGCTTTTTCTTTTAGTGCACGTGCCTTCTAATAGATATTAAAATGCTCCACACCGTGAGGGATAAATGGTCACCTAGGTTCTCTAGTCGACATCTCACCCCTTGCTTGTTGTAAAACGTATGTAAAGTAAATTAAATTGGGGTTAACTCAACACTGTATTTTATTTTTTGTATACCTAATTCTCCAAAGTGTGACTCCTAAAGTAATGTGTTTAATAAAACAAGTAAGTAAACACAACATAGAGGTCCAAATTTGGGTAAGACGATCACGAGCCAAATTCATGTATAAATTTTTCATAAAACTTGTTTTAAACGAACCTGGTGTAAGAAGAAATCTTTACAATATGTATATACTTACAGAATACTTTTGCCAAAGAGATATTTTCCAAGATGGCCAAAAGTGGCACCACAATAATTCCACCTCCAAGTGTTGTAGTCATTTCGGTGAAGGAATAGGTTTTGTTGCCAACTGTTGTGGAAAAAGGTGGCGGTTGAAGTGTTGGAAGACCAGGTTTTACATAACCTAAATAATAAAAACAAATTTTGCTATACAATTTTATTTTACTGTTGTATGTTGCTTACCAATCAATCTAAATGGTTTTTCTTCATGTTGATCGAAATAGTAAGCCAAACATGCAGACACTATAACGACAATAATGTTTCTTGCGGTACAAAACAACCAAATAAATGAATTGACAGCTTTGTGGAACGAGCTCTTTTCATTATCATCTTTTGGTCCGATCTTGGTGTCTTTGAAAGTCTATAAACAGTTTTAATAGAATCTTTTGCTTAGGTCTTAAAACAACTTCAAGACCACACTTGAAAATGATCCTGAACTTTGTCTTACCCTTAAGAATAGTAGCACAAACATGGAAGAAAAGCCCAGTAAACAGTCCCAAGGTCTAGTCTCGGAAATGTGCTGGAAAATTTGCTCCCAAACGGGCAAAAAATCTCCTCCGGGATAGGCCAGACCCAGCACATCTTTTACTTGGGTTGTGGCTATTATGATGGCGGCTGCTGATGTGAATCCTATCGACACAGGACCCGAAATAAAATCTATGAGAAATCCTAGAAAAAAAATAAAAAGTGTTTTATATAAATAGAACAGTTGAGTTCTGCTTACCTAATTGTAATATACCCATTATTAGTTCGATACAGCCGCTCAAAAAGCAGAGTAAAACAGCACCTGAGGTACCTAAATTATGTATATTTTCTCTAGTTAAAAGGGCTGCAATGGCAGTCGGCCCTATAGGGGCAACCTTACAACTACCTAAAATTGTATATACAAAACATGCCATAAAGGCTGAGTATAAACCTGCAATAAAAAATAATATTATAACTAAAATCAAAAATATGATCAAACAAGGTGTTTTTCTCTTACCTACTTGCGGTTCCAGTCCTGCAACGGTAGCATAGGCTATAGCCTGGGGAATTACAGTGAGGCCAACTGTTATTCCTGCAACTAGATCTGACACCAAACAGCTGGTGTTGTACTGTGGTAGCCAAGACAAAATAGGAACTTTTCTTTTTAGGTTTTTCTTGGTTAGGCCTTTTTTCACTCTGTCTTTGGCCCATTCTTTTATGGTAGGTTTGGCCAGAAACTGCGACGGTCTGTGTTTCCAGTAGGATTCTTCCGGGAGGGACAAAATAGTGCTACCACCTAAGGAGAAAAATGTAGGTTATTTAAAAGGATATGTTTACAATTAGTGGACTATTCCATGGGTTTATCTGATATCCAGGATCTATGTCAATGTTGACCAAATTCTTCACGTCAAAACAGGTATTTTAATGGACATAAATGAATATTTGTTGGCCGAAAAGAACTTTCTATAAAGTTCAATGAATTCGTAGGAGAAATTTTGCAAACCGTTGCAGGAATATTCTATAAGCATTAGATAAACTTGCTGAAGGTCAATGAAGAACAACTATTAATTATTAATTTTGGATGAAGAAAAATAACTAATATTCAGAAATAAAACCTATTTTATTATTAGTTTTTTAATTATTACTCTGTAAAGTCAATAATTATCACGGAAAACCATATATGAAAAGCAAAAGTGTATAAATTAATATTGATACACGGTTTCCTTGAAATTTTTTCTGAACATTTAAAATTCAAAATAAACCCATTATATAAATTCGAAGCAAATTAAGATATAAACACGTGCTTCTAAAATAAAATGAACTTTAAACAAACAATAGACTAGACATTTATTGGTACTAAAAAATTTGATTGTTTATGACAACAAATATTTTTAAATTATGCGGAAAATATATATTAAATCTTATTATAACAAGTATGCCGATTTTGTGCTTTTGTGTGGCCAAAATTCATTAAAAAAAAACTAATAAAGATATCATTAGGCAATTTGAACACCATGTTTTAGTTGTATTAAGCTTGATCATGTACCGATTTTAATTCTATTGGCTTAGTGAATAAAATCTTGTTACAGTAAGTTATAACATTAAAATATTTTAGTTATTTAAATATCATTATGAAATTTAAACAATGCTGATTCTATTAAAATTTTAATTTAAATGAAGCTGTAGGGACTAAAATATACTGAATTTACCTACAGGTGTAGCACAAACAACACGTACTTGATTAGATGTGAAAGCAAAAGCTTATGGCCAAGATTTGTGTATTATTTTAGAAAAAGAGAAAAATATGATTGATCTTACCTAAACTACTATTTTTTCTAATTTCCTTATCTAAGCTGTCGGATTCAGTTTCAGCAAAAGCGGGGTTGACATGTCGTTCATCAGGATGTTCGCCATTGATGTAGGAAGTTAAGGTAACCTGACTTCCCATATTGTTTTCTGAATCGTTTAAAGTAAACTTCGTCATTGTTAATTTATTTTTTAGTTAGATTTTCGCAATATTAATTAATTTTGATTTTGATCTTCTTAAGGTTTACACTTGTGTTTTCTTTTTGGGGGCATTCTTTTTCAGTGGCGTGCTGGTCAACTGAAATTGGGTTTCATCAAGATGGTGGCCAATTCTAAAACAAAAAAATAACACTGTAATTAAGGAAAAACAAATGCAAAAGAGTAATAAATTGGCAGTTGTTACCTTGAAATCTAACGCATTTCAAAAAATGCCATTCTGATGCAAAGTTAATTAAAAACGTATCATTTTAGATTATATTACACTTTTTATGTTAAAATTTACACGCATATATACTATTATGGCTTGGATAGTAAAACAAATATATTTTTAATTATGCATTAATTAAACAATTATTACAGCCTAAGAATTTTATTTAATTAGTTATAAAAAATATATCGATTGTAATAATTATTAGTTACAATAATTGTTACATTTATAAATTATTTATAAATGTAATTGCATGGGCGCCGCCAAGGGGGACAGGGGGCACCCACGAATTTAAAACGAAGAAGTATTTTTTTAATAAAAAAAAATAATTGATCACCAATTTTGTTTTAATTCGATGTTGATTATCTTTTGTTACTTTTAACTGCATTCATTCTTCTACTCTTCATCACCATCCTGAACTTTTCCCCAAATTTGGATTTTCGGTAAATGGACAAACGGATAAAACTTTGAACGAAAAAAAGGGTAAAAATTCGATTAATAATTAATTTTTTCGACTGCGCTTACTTACTAAAAATGAGTTGGCAGAAAGTACTTTTCATCATTCACAAATACGAATCTTTACGTTGCGATGCTTATAATTAGTTACTCATGAACAATTTCAAATATTTCGTCGAATTTGCAAGTTTTCTTATCGAATTGTAAGATTATTTATCAATAAAGAATTTTCGTTTGTGTTCAGCATCGTATTAAAAACTCGTTAAAAATAAATTTATAAATGCTTATTTTTTTCGTCTTCATTTAAAACCAGTTTTGTTTTACAAACTGGATCTCTACTAGATCGACTAGTCCATGTTTTACGGAACACTATTAAAATATACAGTAAATGACGTTGAAGAAGAAAAGGTTAAATTTTGCATAGTAATCTTCATGGTTTCTATTATACGAGGGCATACTAAAAAGTACTTGGAAGTTACATAAGATTGTTAGCACGATTGTCAAGATCCAGCAAATTTTGCATTTAAACAAAATTTAATATAATATTCATAATCATATATCTAATGTTTTCCAAAAATTCAGGTTTATTTCTTATGGATACAGAAGCAATTACAACCCGCGGCATTATACCTCAACGTTATGAATTGGGACTGCATCAATGATTTTAAACATCCCCACTCACAGAAGTCGAGTGTATTTAAATCTGGAGAACGAGGAGGCCACGGAATTGGCCCTCCTCGTTCCACCCAAGTAGCAAAGGGTTTCCACCGATAATGCTTTACTGTTTTATGCAAGCTTTATAAACGCATGAAAACCTGCTTTTTATTTTATTGCAGCTCTACTTTGTGCCAGTTGGTCTTGAGATAATGAAGCTTTATGATTAGGCTTTATGAGCGACTTTAAAGTAAAGTACTAATGCCTTTTTGCAATTTTGTAAACTTTTTTTTGTATAATTATAACAGTTTGATCTTAACATTGATTTATTACTGTTAACCCCTAAGAAACGCCTATAGTCCAATAAGCTTTATCAGATGCCTATTGGTGTTAATGGTGCTCGGAAAGTTGGCTTTAATGCATCTGTTAAAGCCGACTCATAGGAGCATTTGGTCTTAGGACTACTTTTCCTCTATGTAAGAATGTTACAAAACCAAACAGTAAAAAGGTTTTATGATTGTTCCTAGTAGAGCAGCAATACGTCTATAACCAATTTGCTTTCAAATTTGCAAATTTGCATGAGTGTAAACCATTTTGTTGCTATTTCTTCCTTCTAAAACGTTTTTTCTTGATAATCGCGAATAAAATAATTTTAATTCTATTCTATAAAAAAAGTGAAAATTTGTATAGAAAAACAAAGTTGGCTCCTGTAAGAGCTGTTAAAAGTTGTTCTTCTGTGTTGTTGGCAAAACATCCGGTTGATAATACTCATTGTATCCCTTCAACGTCCTGTTCCAACCAAGAGCTAAATCCTCATCATTCTATCACAGCAATTAAGACAATTTTTAGGTGTTATCATCTGACAAAGCAAAGCAAAGTTGTTTTAAAATGCTCGCACAAAATTCTAATTGGTTTTATTTGCCTTGAAAAATGCAGTCATAGTTTTAACAAATAGTTTAGTTGTAAACACTTTTTAAGGCAATTAAACTTTTTAGCAGTTGTTTGAGTATATTGTTTTATGACTGAAACCGCCATTTAAATTAGAAAATATTGCTCCGCCATGATGAAATAATTTTAATATAAAATACGAATAGATAATATTTTTCAGAAAATTTAAAAAAATTTTGTTTTTACGAGCATGTTAATGCTAGAGAATATTTTATCGATAAGAGATGGCTTAAAAAACGGAATGTAGATCGGGTAAGAAATTTAGCCAAAGCCTTTAAAATTGTTTAAATTAAGCCTATTTCAGTGGGCATCATACGTTTTGTGTCTCGGCAATCAAATTTAATCAGTAAAGTGGTATTTGTTTATGATTTTTGCATCTGAAAGTTATTGGTTGACAAAAGATAATAATTTTCTTATGAAGTTTTTAAAATCAATAATGGCCTATGCTTGTGATTCATAAGGCAACAATATACCAAAAAAGTAAAAAGGTATATCAATAAGTACAAATTGTCAGCTAAAATGTGTTTACGACAAAAGGATACTACCTCCTTAAAATATATTGCACTTAGCAGGTTTTATGACAGTTGTAAGGTAGGTTTTATGGCTGCTGTAAGATGTGCCTTAGGAGTAAAAGCAATGTTGCTTTGTGGCTGACACACAAATTGCTCCTAAGGACAGCAATAGGAGTCTCCTTTTTATCCCTATGATGGTTTTATCGAAGCTGCATAGCTGATGTTGAAGCAAATAGGTTTTAACTAAGCAATGCAAATTACCCTTAAGAGTAGTTTTATGGAGCCCTTGTATATATACCTTAAAAAAATAAATTACAGTTTGTTCTGATTTATGCTATGACAAACGACAAAAAATTATGAGGATTTTTCCCCCCAATAACACAGGGTTACAAATTTTTTAAACAGACTATATTTTTGATGAGTTTGACCTCTGAATTGCTCCATCTGCTCCAGGTTTTCGAAAAATTCTAATAACCAATTCTCTCTTCTAGTTGAAGTTTATAAGTTTTGTTAAGCTGAAACGTTTTAAACATAGATTTGAACTAACGAATTCTTGAATAGAAAAAAATTGTTGGAAAAACTAAATTTGAATTTAATAATTCACCACGTATTTAATTAAAAAAAAAAATAAACTACTATATAATAGTAAACAGGAAACAAAATGTATTATTATATTAAGTATTATATTATAATATATTAAATGCTATATTGTTATTAAATGAATAATTTTCTGGTAAGTTTATTTGTTACTGCCTATATGACATTGTAGTTTGTATATGTAAGTATAGATACAATAATAATAAATTATTTTTTAATATCTTAATAATTATTTATAAATTTAGTAAATCTGTTTCTATTTTTGCATATTGCGTAAGTAGTAAGTATTTCGAGATATTTAAAGATAAAGTTGCAACAATTTATTTGGTATATAACAAATTAAAAAATCATATAAAAAATAATTTAAAAATATTTTTAATTACAATTAAGTATTCAAAATATACCGAAAGAAAAAATAAATACTATTTAAGATATATAAAACATAAAAACGTCTAAATATTCCAGCAGTATAAAAATACATAGGTTAATTTATTGATGCCATTAATTTAAATGACTGTTAATTAAGGTTATTTTTTTATTTAAGCGAATCTTTAGAAGTTGATTTCGTACACTGTAAAAAAGATCGGAAATATTTTTTAATGACCTAAAACATATTCATATTTTTGTGTGTATAAAAAATGTGGGGAACCATCAATAGATAGAATAGAATGGTTATAATAGAACAAACTATTTAATGAAACGTGCTACCTATTATAAAATAAATTGTGATTTTTTTATCATAAAAAATTGAAGGCCGCAGCCAAAAATTACCTAGTCATTTTAGTATTGGCATTTTATTTATTATATTAAGATTTCAGGTTGTACACTTGCTTGCAACAAAATCGCGTACACTACAAATCAAATAACCTAGTTGTTACAAATATTGTGCTGTGTAAATGTGTATTTTTTTAAATTTTGACTTTTTATTTCAAATAGGTTATAAACTAAGTTGTTATTTTGGATGAGGTTGCAATGAGTTATTTATTAAAAGTAAAGAAAAGTTTATTTATAATAAAATGTATAAAAGCGACTTGACTCTATGCCCGGTACAGGCCAACTGTCTTACAAAAAGGTCCTTATTAAGTAAGAATACTGTCTTACTCTAAAGTGGCACTTGTGTGCATAAAACCATCTGTGAAAGGTTTTATGACACTTGTTTCACTACTATCTTATCTAACTGAGGGTTGAGTTTTCTATAAGTATTATTGACATGTAAAGAACTGCAATTAATCTTAACACTCTCTCTAAAACTTGACCCTCAATAAACCATGTTAAATTATGACACATACAAGCAAACACAAAAATCTTAAAAGTACTTAAATAAAGAAACAAACAAAGTAATAGCAATTAGCATAATCCTAACTTATTTCTAAGAATTTCAAACCTTGGTTTGGCCAACGGTTTTGTAAAAATATCAGCTACCTGATATTCAGATGATACGTAACTAACGCTAATCTCATTCTTTAAGTACATATCTCTAATAAAATTATATCTAACATCAATGTGCTTAGTGCGTTGATGAAACTCAGGATTTTTTATAAGCTTAATAGCACTCATATTATCTATTAGTAAAACACTATTTTCAAACACTTCTCTCTTTATTTCCGAGAGTAAACGATTTAGCCACACTAATTCTTTAACCGCACTAGCCGCACTTATAAATTCAGCGTCCGTTGTCGATTGGGCAACACATTGTTGTCTTTTACATTGCCAGGTGATCGCTGCTCCTCCGAATTTG